TTTCCGAAGGCACCGCGCTCCCCGTTCCCGACTCTTGGGCAGGGTCTCCCTTTGGTGTGAGAATTCCTTGCCGGCTCCCGGGCTTGGCGTGCGGTGGGAAAGGGTGGGATGTAGCGATCCCAGGTGGGGTGCGTAAGCAGAATCCTTGCCCCTGGCACTGGGCTGCAGCACGGTGGCGGGGGAGGGGGTTGACAGGTCCCAGAAGACTCCGGAACTGATGGAAGCGGGTTTTTGGGGTTCCCCACAGGCCCAGTTTGGCACCCTCTCTGACTATTTTGACGCTCTGTACAAGAGGACAGGGGTAGAGCCGGGGGCACGGCCCCCAGGGTTTCCCGTGCTGAGCGGGGATTTCTTCTCCTATGCCGACCGAGAGGACCATTACTGGACGGGCTATTACACTTCCCGGCCCTTCTACAAGAGCTTGGACCGGGTCCTGGAAGCCCACCTGCGGTGAGACTCCCGCCTTCCGCCTTCCTGGCTGGAAGGAGTAGAATCGGCTGTGGGATTTAAGGAAGGGCTGGATTGGCTCAGAAGGCCCTGGAAAGGCTTGGAGACCAAGGCAGGCAGAGATGTGGTGGAGAGAAGGGAGTGGGGCTTGCTGAGCGAGGGCGGGCCTGGGAGTTGTGTGGGCAGGAGGCTGACCTCTGTCTCTGGGCAGGGGCGCGGAGATCCTGTACAGCCTGGCTGTAGCTCACGCGCGCCGCTCTGGACTGGCTAGCCAGTACCCGCTCTCCAACTTCGCCCTTCTGACGGAAGCTCGGCGCACCCTGGGGCTCTTCCAGCACCACGATGCCATCACCGGCACTGCAAAGGAGGCGGTCGTGGCAGACTATGGCGTCAGGTGGGGGCCCTCTCCCGCTCCCCGTCGGCTCCACACCCTTGCCCGCTGTCCCAAAGAAAGGCCGTGCTGGCGGTCAGGGGGCAGGCCTGCCGGTGAGGTGCACAGTCTGTGGCCATCTTCTCCATGGTCCCTCTCCCACCCCCTGTCCCCCGCAGGCTCCTGCGCTCCCTCGTCAGCCTGAAGCAGGTCATCATCAACGCGGCACACTATCTGGTGCTGGGGGACAAGGAGGCTTACCACTTTGACCCTGAGGCTCCCTTCCTCCAAATGGTGAGCCCCCTCCTCCATCTGCTCCGGGCGCCCTCGGGTGTGTGCGGTCCCATCCGAGAGCAGTGGTGTGAGGGTGTCGCTCTTCTTTTCCTTCCCTGCCCTGGGGTGAAGGATCTGTGCCCAGGGAAGCTGGTGGTCCACATCCGGGACAGGTAGGGGAGGAGGCAAGACTCCGAGCCAGGCCAAGGCCCGTGACGGTTCTTCCCTTGCCACTCCCTTAACTCCAGGATGACACCCGCTTAAATCACGATGCCCTGCCGGAGCGCACAGTAATCCAACTGGATTCCTCGCCCAGGTGAGCCAGACCGGGCCAGGCACAGAGGCGAAGCCACTCTGGCTCCCGACACCATCTCATCCCCTCACCTGCCCAGATACTCTTGGCCTCTGTTTCTGCCTCCGTCGCCCAGGAAAAGCCTGCCTGGGTGAGCCTGCCTCTACCTGCAGGTACGTGGTGCTGTTCAACCCGCTGGAACAGGAGCGGTTCAGTGTGGTGTCCCTGCTGGTCAGCTCGCCCCGGGTGCGTGTCCTTTCTGAGGAGGGTCAGCCCCTGGCCGTGCAGATCAGCGCACACTGGAGCTCTGCCACTGACGTGGTCCCTGACGTCTACCAGGTAAGGTGGGGGCCCGGGAGGTGGGCCCCAGCCCTCCGTGCTCATCCTCGGCCTCTCCCCGGGGCCTCCCTCTGCCTTGTGACACCCACCTCCCGCCCTCCTGCTTGCGCCCCAGGTTGGGGACAGCCGTCTTGGGGAGAGGGGTTGCCCAGAGGACAAGCACTGTTGGCATTTGGGTCTGTCCTCGAAAGGCAGGTGAAGTTTGATAAACTATGATAATAGCGAGGATGGGGGCCGGGGTGTCGTGTTATTTCTTCATTCATCAAGTGTTTATGGAAAGTTAATGTGCGATTGCCATTTCATAGTTTCTCAAATAGCATTTGAGACTCCTAAGAGTCTGATCCGAAGCAAGTAATGTCACTTCCACCTTCAGAGGAGGGGACAGAGGCCCCAGCAGGTACAGGGATCTGCTCAGACTTTATCAGTTAGTAAGAAAGCCCCAGGACTAGAATCCCGGGCCTGCATCCAGAACTGGTGCCCGTGCTGTGGGCCGCGCTTCCTCACCCTTCCTGTGCCAGCAGGTGTCTGTGCCCATCCGCCTGCCAGCCCTTGGCCTCGGCGTGCTGCAGCTGCAGCTGGGCCTGGACGGGCACCGCACCCTGCCCTCCTCTGTGCGCATCTACCTGCACGGCCGGCAGCTGTCCGTCAGCAGACAGGACGCCTTCCCTCTACGCGTCATTGACTCTGGCACCGGTGACTTCGCCCTCAGCAACCGCTACATGCAGGTCTGGTTCTCAGGCCTTACCGGGCTCCTCAAGGTAAAGGGCCAGGGCGGGGAGCCGAGGAGGGTGTGCGTGGCGGTGGGGCGGTGCTGAGCCAACACCCGACTGACGGCGGGCCTCGGAGTGGGCCGTCTTGGCTCCGGGCTGACGGCACGGGGAAGCTGGGCTGGCTCCTTGGGGAAGTTCGTCCGTGCCCTCCCAGGGGGCAGGCCTGACATGCTGGTGTGGGGCCAGGGGTCAGGGCTGTGTTTCTTGGCAGAGCATCCGAAGGGTGGACGAGGAGCAGGAGCGGCGGGTGGACGTGGAGTTCCTCGTCTATGGCACCCGCACGTCCAAAGACAAGAGCGGAGCCTACCTCTTCCTGCCTGACGGGGAGGCCCAGGTACCCTAAACACTCAAAACCCCCACAGGCCTCGGGAGGCCCCGCCAGCGGAGGGCACGAGGAGCCACGTGACCCGAGGCGGTGAGGCGGAGGGGCACGGGCCTTCCTCCAGGACGGTGCCTGCTGCCAGGGCCCTCGCGGGGGCCGCCTCCGGGAGGTGGGGTGGCCGAGGAACGGCCACGGGGGCTTGGGCCGGCCCAGCCAGGGGTCTCTGGCGGAGGCCTGCCGGCAGAAGTACTTCCGCCGAGGTCGGGCCGGTGCCCCCAGGCTTTGCCTTCCGTGCTGCGGCTTCAGCTGCCGCCTGCTCTTTCCCCAGCCCTACGTCCCCAGGGACCCCCCCGTGCTGCGTGTCACCGAAGGCCCTTTCTTCTCAGAGGTGGTTGCGTACTACGAGCACGTTCACCAGGTGGTCCGGCTCTATAACCTGCCAGGTGAGCCCTGCCGCTCGGAAGGTCCGAGGGGAGGCGGGGGCTGCAGGGGTGTGCGCTGCTCTTCCTTCTGCTCACGGCTCACGCGTCTGTTCCCAACAGAGGTATCGTTTGCAATGGGGTCACGGTAATTCTCTGAGAGAGAAGGTCCTCCAGAAATGCGGGGCGTCGCCGGGGGTCTGGGCACGGCCTCTCCCTGCCCAGTCTCTCCGGCCTCTCCATGCTCGCCCTTTGTCTTTGTGCCCAGGGGTGGAGGGGCTGTCTCTGGACATGTCGTCCCTGGTGGACATCCGGGACTACGTCAACAAGGAGCTGGCCCTGCGCATCCACACAGACATTGACAGCCAGGGTGCCTTCTTCACGGACCTCAATGGCTTTCAGGTGATTTTCAGGGCCCCAGAGAGTGCACGCAGCAGGCACTGGGAGCGGTCTGCCCTGAGGGAGGAGGAGGAATCAGAGACGAGAGTGATCAGGGACTCCTTCAGACTGGGGACCCGTTGGTCCCACATGGTGCCCGGATGGCCGTGACCTGCTGGCCTTCCCCTCCCAGGTGCAGCCCCGGCGCTATCTGAAGAAGCTACCCCTGCAGGCCAACTTCTATCCCATGCCGGTCATGGCCTACATCCAGGACGCCCAGAACCGCCTCACCCTGCACACTGCGCAGGCCCTGGGTGTCTCCAGCCTGCACGATGGTGAGCGGGGCAGGAGCTGGTGCACAGAGTGATGGGCGGGGTGGAAGCCCATCTGTGCCCCCGGCCTCTCCCCTCAGCGGTCCCCACCCCATACCCAGTCCACATCACCTCCATGCCTGTAGAACCATTAACAGCAAGCCGTTAACTCCCGCCAGTCACACACGGGCATGGCAGGAGGGCAGGCCACTGCCGTCACCCTCGCCCCTAGCGGAGGCAGCCTTGGAGGTGACACGGGGGGGAGGGGGCTGGGTGCCCCATTGGAACCCTTTAAGAAGCATCATGGTATTGAACAGTTACTCTCCTGGTCAGGGACGGGAGTAGGGACAGTTGAAAAAGTGCATATGATGTTATAACAGCAAAGAAGAAAAACATACGCTGTTTTTAAAAGAGAGAATGGCATTTTTAAGAATTCAAACAAGGGCATGAGGAGTGCTGGCCTGGGGCTGGGCACGCCGGGCCAGCTGAGGTGGCTCCTACGTCCTCCGAGTAAAGTGAACACTTTGCTCTTGGTGGCCTCTGAGGCCTTCAGATGGTTCATGTTAGGGACAGAGCCTTTATGCAGGGCTGAGCCGAGAGGCTTCGCCCGGGGGTTGGTGGCTGGGGCAGTGGAGGCCTGACCCCCTGCTGCAGGAGTGTGGCTCTGATCGCCCCGCTGTCAGGCTCTGCCACGGTTCTGTCTTCGCTGTCGACTGCTAGCTGAACCCCATGGGATTCTCTCTGCCTTTCTGGAAAATAGCGTGCTGAGAGATTATTGTTACATATGCACGGGTCCGTTTTAGGACTTTCGGATATCTTTCCAAAAAAGGATTGCTCAAGATACAAATACGTAGGAACTACAAAAGTCAGAATGTCAGGCTGGGGAGATGGTCAGGGCCATCCGAGTGGACACTCTCAAGAGATTCTTAGAAAAACAGGTGCTGGGAAAAATCCTCACCCCAACATATGTCTGCTTTGCGGCCAGCCCTTCCCCAAGCGTATTTTACGAAGAAAGCACAGGCGGTCATCTGCCATCCCTTTTCCCCAGGGTGACCACAAACGACACCTGATTGGAGCTTCTGTCTGATTTGCCATCTGCCTGTTCTCTCCGCACTCTCCTTGTGACGGACGAGGCGGCAGAGCTGGAGTCTTTCCCAGCCTAGGAGGAGGGTGGGAGGGCGCGGGTTCTAGTCCCAGCAAGCTCTGCCCCAGCTGCCTGGACCGGGGCCGCTGCAGCAAGCGCTGCTGGCTGGCAATGGCAGTTTTGTGTTCGCTGGTTTACTCTGTTCAAGTGGCCAGTGCAGCTAGCGATCGCCTCCCGAGCTCCCAGGTCTGTTCCCCCTCCTCGGGCACAGAGCGTGGGCGGTAAACTGCCAGGGCCTGCTTGCTCCCTCCGGCCTCTTTTGTTTCCTCTTCTGTGATACCGGCCCTTCACTCGGTCCCCTTCCAGCTCCAGGCCCCCACTCCTCCTCTCCTGAGTGACTCCGCTTGAGGCTGTAGCTCCCCGGGCTTTTCCCTCGGGGCCTGTGGTTGGGATTCTTCCAAAGCCCAGTATCTGCTTGGGGCTCACGGTGAACTTCCCCAGGCCAGCTGGAGGTGATCCTGGACCGTCGGCTGATGCAGGACGACAACCGGGGTCTGGGCCAAGGGCTCAAGGACAACAAAAGAACCTGCAACCATTTCCGCCTGCTGTTGGAACGGCGAACCCTGGGCAGTGAGGTAAATTCTGGACCTCCCTCCCGGGGAGCCAGGTCAGGCTGGTCCCTTGGGCGGCAGAGCTAGAGGCGGGCGAGGGGTAGCGAGAGTAGCGCTTCTCCTGGGGTGCGGGGGGTCAGTCTGACGCTCTGCTTCTCCATCTCCGGCAGCCTGGCACCTCCCTTCTCCCACGGCGTCCTGTCGCCCATGCCCCCGAGCCATCTCCCGCCTTCCTCTGTGCCCCCTCCCCGCCGCCATGTTCTCTAACCCTCTCTGCTCCAGCCCCATTCATCTCATGGCTTTCTTTGCCCCCACCAGCCTGGCTTTTTCTCCAAACTGGCAGCCATGTTTAGGGGCTTGATCTTTCACAGCAGCAGGAGCGATAACCGAGAGGTAAGGGCCAGCCACGGGGGGTCGGACTAGTACTGGCCAGCGGTAGCTGGACGCGGAGCCTGCGGAGGATGGAGCCTGCCACCCAGCCTCCCTGTCTGTGGCTCAGTCCTCACCCACCAAGGAGCTACTGATCACCCGCTGTGCTTTAGGGCCCGAGAGGGACGCAGACTCTGACACTGACCCTGCTCTCCAGGACTTCCCTCGGGAGTAGGGGTGGGGGGTAGGCAGAAGTAGCTTGGCTGGTACTAGTGGGAGAACGTTGTGAGCCAAGGGGATCGAGGACAGGTTCTGGGGGACATGTTGACCGGGCACAGCTGTGATGGATGGGGGTCTGATGTGAACACAAGGACTGGGGCGCCTGGATGGCTCAGTCGGTTGGGCTTCCGACTTTGGCTCAGGTCATGATCTCACGGTCTGTGAGTTTGAGCCCCGCGTCGGGCTCTGTGCTGACAGCTCGGAGCCCGGAGCCTGCTTCGGTTCTGTGTCTCCCTTTCTCTTTGTCCCTCCCCCACTCACGCTCTGTTTGTCTTTGAAAAATGAATAAACCTTTAAAAATTTTTTTTTAAAAAAAGCACAAACTAAGGCAGAGGGAGACCACGTAAACAGGGAAGAGCAGTGAGTTCACTCAGCTAGACCACAGCCGCTAGTCCAGCGTGGTAGCTTCTAGCCACATGTGGTTATTTAAGTTAATTAAAATTAAATATAGGGGCACCTGGGTAGCTCAGTGGGTGAAGGATCCTACGTGATTTCAGCTCAGGTCATGATCTCAAAATTGTTGAGTCTGAGCCCTGTGTTGGGCCCCACTCTGACAGCATGGAGCCTGCTTGGGATTCTCTCTCCGCCCCCCTCAGCTCCTCCACCGCTCACATTCTGTCTCCTTCTCAAAATAAATAGACTTAAAAGAACTAAATATAATAAGTTCAGTTCTTCAGTCATACTGGCCACATTTAAGTGCCCAGTGGCCACAAGTGGCTAGCAGCTACTCTATTAGTGCAGGTATAGCTTATTTCTATCTTTGCACAAAGTTCTAGTGGCCGTTGCTGGGCTAGCATGGGGTCAGGGTTCGGTTGGGGCAGACTAGTGGGCCCAGAACGGCTGGCTGTGGGGCCTGGACTTTATGTTGGAGGCCAGTGCAGGATCTGAGCACGGAGGGACGCTGTCGGACTCTGCCCTGAGCTTGTCCATCTAACAGTAGGAATAGGGCGGATCTCTGGGGAGCCTGGAGGCAGGTGATACTTTACAGGCTGTTCAAGCGGGAAATGTTGGTGGCTTGAACTGAGCCGCGGGAGGGAAAGGTTGGGGGTGGGTGTGAGGATACTGCCGAGATGGGGAGAGATTCTGGGCGATTGGAAGGAAGGTGGCACTAGGGACAGAAGTCCAGAGGACAGAAAAGTGGCCGCCTTGGGGGAAGTGCAGCTTAGGCCTGTGAGTGTGGCATACAGGGCAGTCACCCAAGCGGCCGCCCCCGGTCGGAACAGCTTGGGGAGCACTGGGCCCGAGGATCGGGGCTGGCACTATGGGTGTGGGGCTGGACCCGGAACCGCAGGATCACTCAGGGTACTTGCTCCGTCCGTTATGGGCACACATCTGCCTGTCACCCGTTCTCCCGCACTGAGGATCTGCGATGGGAGATGGATGGCGCTCACAGGGCGTGTGCTCATGTTAGTGTGAAAGCAGAAACCCCCGAGGTAGAGGAGACGTGTCCCTTGTAGGTTGTGGGAGATGGGGAGTGACCACACGTGGAGGGTGCTGGTGCCTTCCAGACGCTTCAGGGAAAGCTCTCTGCCCCTTCGCCCACATCTCGGCCGACCTTGCAGGTCCAGGATGGCCGCACTACCAGCTACCCATCCCTCCTCAGCCACCTGACCTCCACGTACCTGAATACCCCGGTGCTTGCCCTGCCCGTAGCCAAGAGGCAGCTCCCGGGCCCCGGTCTGCGCTCATTTCATCCCCTGGCCTCCTCCCTGCCCTGCGATTTCCACCTGCTTAACCTGCGGACGCTGCAGGCCGAGGTGAGTACCCCGCCCCGCTCTGTACCTCCAGGACCGGATTGCGGCCTTTCCTCACCCACACTCCTCCTGGTCCTGGTCCCGGTGCTGCCTCGAGGGCAGTGCTGTTGCACCCGCGAGCGCTGAGCAGCACCCGCCCCCACCACCCTTTATGTGTCCGTCACCCAGGACGATGCCCTGCCCTCGGCAGAAACCGCACTCATCTTACACCGCAAGGGTTTCGACTGCGGCCTTGAGGCCAAGAACTTGGGCTTCAACTGCACCACGAGCCAAGGCAAGGTGAGAGGGGCCTGGTACAAGTAGGAACACGGTGCACCGGGGCACAGCAGGCATGGGGCTTGGGAGACTGCGGTGAGGTGGGCAGCGGAGAGAAAAGGGAGCAGCCGTTGATGAGTGATTTCAAAGCAACTGAGGCCTGGCTAGGGCACGTTCTGTACAAGGCATGTGCTCCGTGAGTAGGGGCCACGGCCAGATGCAGTGGAAAACATCAGATATAAAAATCCAGGGGCGCCTGGGTGGCTCAGTCGGTTGAGCGTCCGACTTCGGCTCAGGTCACGATCTCGCAGTTCGTGAGTTCGAGCCCCGCGTCGGGCTCTGTGCTGACAGCTCAGAGCTTGGAGCCTGTTTCGGATTCTGTGTCTCCCTTTCTCTCTGAACCTCCCCCGTTCATGCTCTCTGTCTCTCTCTGTCTCAAAAATCAATAAAGGTTAAAAAAGTAAAAAAAAAAAAAAAAATCCAAAGCCGTGATGCTGCGACTCTGAAAGCTCTGGTCATGGTTCAGGCAGGCGCTGACAGGTGCCCCGTGTGCCACAGCCCATGCTGGGCACTGGCGATTCCGGAGTGGACCTAACACAGTCCCTGTCTTCAAGGAGTTCGCTGCTCAGTGCAGTGGTTCCTACCCTGAGGTCTGTGGATGGGCTTTGGGGTTGAGCAGAGTGAGCCCCTGGCCCGAACACAAGCTCTCGTGCACAGCTGGGCACCATGTTGCCCAGAGGGGCCAGAGCCTCTGTGAGGTTCTTAAAGAGGCAGCAAGTCATACAGAGAAAAGAGCTGTGTCATATAACGTGTGAACACCCAGCACAGCCCTGTGCCATCTTTTCTCTCCACAGGTGGCCCTGGGGAGCCTTTTCCACGGCCTGGATGTGGGTTTCCTGCAGCCAACCTCCTTGACGTTACTGTACCCTCTGGCCTCCCCCTCCAACAGCACTGACATCTATTTGGAGCCCATGGAGATTGCCACCTTCCGCCTCCGCTTGGGCTAGCACTTCCCGTGGCCTGAAGAGAAAGTTCATCCACAGAGACTGCCTCTTACATAAGGTCGTGTTGGACAAGCCAGATGGGTATCCTGTCCCGGTCTACCTCTCAGAACTGTGGCAGACTGGGCCCTGCCCTCATTTTCTGTTTCTCGTTGCTTCTGTGTTCGGTGGCAACCCCAAACCCGGTGTTGGGTAGACAGGGCAGATGGTAGTGAGATCTTGGCCAGAGGGTCCTTGGTCAGAGTGGGCGGTGCCAGCCTCTGCTTTGGGTTGTGAGCGGCACCCATTGGGCACAGGCTCAAGCACCCACCTTTCTCCCAAAATGGGATGGAGGAGAAGCAGGGTCAGGAAAGATAGGGGAGGCTGAGTGGGTAGGAGCCCAGCGCCAGGGTCACTGGAGGTGGGAGCTGGTTCTGGGTGGGGGGGTCCTCTGGTTACATAGGGACTGGATGTCCTGATGTGAGCGGGAACTGAGTGATGGCTGGGAGGAGGGGGTGGGGACCCAGAGTTAGCAGAGTGGAGGAAGAGGAATCTCCACTTTCTGTGATGACTCCACTGGGAGGACGCCACACCTCGGCTAGCGGCTGTGGTGCGGCAGGAAGAGACCATGCGTCCCTAGAGACCATGTCATGGCTAGAGGTCATAGCACACTTCAGGTACCAAAACCCCCATCTGGCCCCGGGCGCCTGGTCCGTGTGTTGATGTATGAGATGGTGGCAGGGACGTGGGGGCGTCTTCCGTCCTCGCTGACGCCTCTTCTGTTCCTGTACTCTGTACACCACTGTCCTCGAGCCCCTTCCCACCCTGGGGGCATCTGGTCTGGCGTACTTCCTTTCCCTGGAAGGAAAATGAAGCCTCCAGTCCACCTCCCCTCCCCATGAGCGTGAGCAGTTTGAGAAGGCTTTCTGCTCCGTCCCTACGGTCAGGCCATGGAGCTTCAGCTGTGGTACATGCTTCTACAGAGGGATTTGGATCCTGGCACAGGGACTAGGGTTATGTAGAGTGAATTAGGAGGCAGTATGTCTGTTCAGCAGCCTTCATTCAGCTTCGATTAATAGAGCAAAGGTTTTGACGGTCTCTATAGATGCCGAAGCAATATTTGGTAAAGTTTAAAATCTATCCCTTGTTAAAAATCTTAGTAACTTAAGACTGCAAAGCAACTCCTAATCTAGATTAAAAATCTCTATCAGAAACCAGCAGTTAATGACATTCGAAAGAGTCAGACACCACAGGCATTCCGATAAAAGAAATTAGCCAAGGACATACTATTATTTAGCAGGTTCCTGGCACCATAATCCCCACAGTAGAGCAGGCGAAGGAGAGGAAGTTACTACCGTCATTATTTGGAGACAACAGAATGGCAACCTATAAAATCTACGAGAATCAGCTGGAGACCTAAGACCATTCTGTAAGTGGACGTAAGTGATAGACATCATGCTCCTGTAAGGATTTCGGCTCTCTCCAAATCAGCCCATACATTCAGTGTGTTCCAGTGTGATTGAATACTTTTGGAATTTTGATGAGTTCTAAAGTTCATTTGGAAGAGTAAATACATGAGAGTACTAACAAATTCTGAATGGTGGTGAGTTGGGGGGGGGGTGCGCCGAGGGGAGGAAAGGGCACATGTCCCGTGGCATTGCCCCAGGGACTCTCAGGCAACCACACATGGTCCGTGTGACCCGGTGTGGGATCGGAAAGACAGACTGATGGAACCAAAGTCAGAGTCCAGAAGCAGACCCAGGTAGATGGGAATTTAGTGGGATAAAAGGATTATCTGAAGTGGGAAAAAGATGGATTGCTCTAAATAGTACTTGAAGTCACTGGCTATCAAAGTAAGAGATCTGTAGCTCACAGTTTCCACCGATATTAGTCCCAGAGAAAGGAACAAAAAAATTAAACTACAAAATTACTGAAGAAAATACAGGGTATTATTATACCTCTGGGGTGGAGAGCTGTTCTAAACATAACACAAAACCTGCAAGATGTAATAAGGGAAAAGATTAAACAGATTTTATTACCAAAAAATATTGAAAGTTTTATGTATGACGGAAAACATCAAGGTTAAAATACAAATGACAACCTGGGAGAAGATGTTTGCAACACCTCAAAAACCGGTGAGTTAATCATTTTGGGTGAAAGCTTGCTTTGGGGTCCTCAGAGAAGGTCCCCTGGGCCTGCTGGGCCCCTACCTGAATATCAAGAGTCCTTCCAGATCATCCAGGGCTGTTGGCAGCTTCAGGCCAGGGCACACAGAATCCTTTCTGTATCACTATGGAAGAAATAAGATTATTGATGTGAGGTGCTCAGCAGAGTGTCTGATGCATAGAGGAGCTCAATAAATGGGAGCTATGATCTTACTAGTAAAGGATGCTAAACAGTTATAGCAGGTGTCAATTACTCGTATAAGATGGCTTATAATCACATGATAAGGGAGACTGTGTGCCTCCTAGGAAATGAGCAAAATAAAGGCTGTTTATCTTTGGATATCTTAGATGTACCATGAAATCATTTATCTGCCAGGAACAATGTTTAATGCTACACACTGGCCTTTTAAAACGACCTAGCGTTCAAGGTATGGTCCGGGATCACCAGAAGTACTTGTTTCAAGTCCGGCTTTTTGGCCTCTCCTCACTAGGGCTGCTCCTTCAGCCTGGACGTAGGACTGAGGGCCTGTGGAGCAGAGACTAAGACTCGCTAAGACAGATCTGTAACAGGAACAAGAAACAAACGTTCCTGTAGAACGTCGAAGAACGTAGAAGGAAAAAGCCGATTCCTGGGCACAATCTACTGAAGTAATTTCTGGGATGGCAGTCAAAGGATCTACTTTTTTAACAAGCTTCCAGGTGATTCTTTTGCACACATAATTTAGAAATGGGCCTGTGATTTTAAGGCACGCAGCCACCCTTTACCACCACGTGCTGGCACTGAGGCCTCAGTTCTGAGGGTTGTAATCATCATTAGAATCCGGATGTGACACAGAAGCAACTCAACCACCGGAAATAGCATTCTGTTCCTCCCGGGAACCCTCCATGCACTTAGAACTTAAAATACAAAGTTCTAGCCCATTTCCACGAAGAGAGGACTGTATGCCCAGTTGGAACCATGGAAGGGAGACTGGAACTAAGAACCCAGTCCTCCCATGCAGGTTGAGGCAGGCGCAGGTGGTGCTCTGATTCAGCTTGCCTAGGAGGTGGGCACAGAGAGAGAAACCTGTAGAAAGAGCGACCTCTCTAACCTCCAAGTTCACCTGCCTACCCCACGGTCACCGAGGTCAGCTAACTGCACTCATGTGCTCGCAGAGGGGGGAAATCCCAGTCTGGGTAGCAGGACGGAAGCTTACCATCCAAAATAGAGCACCCTGAAAAACATGTTTGTTTTTCACTGGCAAAAATACGTACAAATAACAAATACCTCAAGGGCGAGAACAGGCAATGGAGGAGGAGACCAGATCCTTCAAACCAATTTTACATAAAGTCCGTGGGAAATAATTCAGATCTTAACAGTTACCCGGCCCAAGTGCGTCTGCGAAGAGTCTCTGTCCATTATGGGGCCTGACCTTGCACCTTCCTAACCGAGAGTAAACCTGATCTGAAAGTCCACTCTGGGCACAGGAAACGCTAGGGGTTGGAGATGAAGGCTTCCCAGCGTTTGGAATGTGACAGAGTTGAAGATTGAAAACACAGCACCGAGTATGGAAGCCTCGAGAAGCTCTCTCAGTGGAGGAGGAAACAGTGACAGTGACAGTCCCTGTCAGCCTGCCTGGGGACTTGCACTCAAACCGGAGGAGTGAGTGCACCTACATCTGCCTCCTCAACTCCTAGTGCCTACGAATGGCAAGTGAGATATTTACAATGCCAAAGCATAGAGTAAAATGAGAGGAACTCTCCTTTGACCAAGAATGGAGAGAACAGCTACAGGCCTGAGCAGACGGGAAGCTCGCAGCTCGAGACAAAGCCCAGCAAAGGGCAGCAGCACTGGCGCAGACAGGGCACCAAGACTAACCCAGGAAGGCCAGAACCAGGCTGAGCAAAGAGCAGAGGAAAGCAAAGCAGAGGCTGCCAGCGAAACATGACAAAATAGAAGCGACCCCAAACAATGCTTTGTGGAAATACAGTCTACGTATGGGATAAACACTGGATTCTGTGCAAGTGGTATGGAGACTTTTGTGGATTTGGAAAACAGAACTAAGGAATCTACTTGACCATACCACAGAGATAAAAGGAAAACCTAAAAGAGAGGTTAAGAAAGATGGCAGATAGGGGCGCCTGGGTGGCTCAGTTGGTAAGCGTCTGACTTCAGCTCAGGTCATGATCTCACGGTTCGTGAGTTTGAGCCCCGCATCAGGCTCTGTGCTGCCAGCTCAGAGCCTGGAGCCTGCTTCAGATCCTCTGTCTCCCTCTCTCTGTGCCTCCCCCATTCTCTCTCTCTCTCAAAAACAAATTAAAAAAAAAAAGAGAAATATGGCAGATAGATTTAGAAGCATTACCATAATGTTTAGTAGCTCTTTTAGGAGAGACTAGTGAATAGGGAAGAGGAAGCCTTCAAAAGGAAAGTGGAGGCACTCTTCAGAAACGAAGAAAGACAGGTGTGCATCCTTGTGGTGAAAGTACTCCCCAAGTTCCAAGAAAGGTACATTAAAAAAAAAAAATCCTCACCTACGTATATTGCAAATAAATCCCTAAAAATCAACCAGATTTTTAGGAAAGAAACTCCATAAGGAAAGACTATCAGATGACAGCAGACAGTTAGCAACAGTGAACAGGGTACCTGAAGACCAGGAAATAGTACATTCACACTTAGAGAACATAACCACTAACTCTGGATTTGGTATTAGCTACACTGTCATTCAGAGTGAGGGGGAAATGACATTTCAAACATCCAAAGGCTGAGAGTTTACAGTGTGCAAAACTTCAGTGGAAGAAAAAAGGTGTACTTGGGGAGAAAAAAATCCAGGGTGCATCAACCAAGGTGGGGTATACCTAATAAGCACTGGCTATAAATTATAA